CTTAGACTGTAATTACTGACTGGACATGAGAGTAAATCTACAATAGATCAATTTTAAAGATAAATTTCACTATCATTAATCTACAGATGTCAAACTCTCTCCTTTAAAGGTAACCTTCATATTATAATCTACAAAACCAAAAGCTTCTTACATGTTCATCTATGTCCAGTCAGCCCGTAACAACGTGGAACTTCGTACGTACGTACATCAGTTCGAGTTGCCATACCACATTAGCACAGAGATTCAGTTATCGATTCAAATCCCGTAGTGGTAGAAGTAGTGATAGGGAACATTATGGTTTGATGATGTTATTTAAGGAGTATAGTCCAGTGGAATATATTTGGAAAGAAAATAAAGGACATGAAGAATACAGAAGATTAGAGTTTGAGAGAACACAGAGAGTGGATGCACCTGCGCTATTGCAAACGATTTTTAGCCATGTCATTCAAGGTCTCTAACCATCGGTCGCTATCATCTCGCGGTCCCCAACCAGGTAGTCTACATCTATCAACATGGCTCAGTCCACTTATCAGTGACTTCATGGATTTGTGCCATGTTTTGGTCTGGCCGCCCCTAGCTTTCTTCCAACCTACTCCTACACCACAAAACATCGCACGTCGGTGGTCGGGCATGCGCAACACATGTTCCAACCATCTCAACTGATTAAGTTTCACTACTTCATCAATAGATTTGCCATCCTTACCTAGTACCCGTTTCCTAACAACTGAGTTACTTACTCGGTGGTTCCGGGATATACGAGCAATGTTTCGAAGACACCTATGATCAAATACTAGTAACCTACGAATGTCCTCTACTCTTACTGGCCATGTTTCACTGCCATAAAGTAGGACAGAACGAACTGCTGCGCATTAAACTCGTCCTTTGGTTACTAGACGGATATCTCGCCTACGCCACAAATGACGCAAGTTGGCAAAAGCTAGTCGAGCCTTCTGTATCCGTGCTGAGATTTCGTCACACACCAGACCACAAGGGCTGATGAGACTTCCAAGATAAGTGAAGCGGTCGACACGCTCAACTACTTCACTCCCTATCACTAGTTCGGGTGTCGACGCAACCCAATCCTGAAGCATCATTTTGCATTTCGAGGGAGAAAATCGCATGCCGAACATGCTTGCATTGTTGCTTAGAGTGGTCAGCAGACTCTGCATTCTGTCAGCGTCTTCACTAAATAGAACTATGTCATCGGCATATTCTAAGTCAACAAGTGGATCTCCCGGTAAAAGTTCAACGCCTGGAAATTTAGATGAGGAAAGTGTCATCTCTAAAAGAACGTCAACAACAAAGTTAAAAAAGAATGGAGAGAGTGGACAGCACTGACGAACACCACTTGAGGTAATCAATTCTGATGACAGTTCGCCATAAGCTCTCACTCGACCAGTTGTGTTCGAGTAAAGAGCCTTTATAAGGTTAATGTACTTCTTTGGTACTCCTTTCAGTGACAAACACTGCCATAGAACCTCACAATCAACAGTCAAATGCCGCCTTAAGGTCGAGAAATACTACCATTGTGGGGCGTCTGAATGTGTGTCTATGTTCTAGAACCTGACGTAGTGTGAATATCTGATCTATACAACCACGTCCAGGTCGAAAACCAGCCTGGTTTTCTCTAGTCTGCATTTCAAAAGCTTTGGTTAGACGTCGAAGTATTATTGAAGCTAATATTTTAGACACTATATTAGTCAAACTAATTCCTCTGTGATTGTCACAAGAGGACTTTTGTCCTTTCTTATAGACTGGCACAATCAGTGATTGAGACCAGTCAGATGGGATTACGTCCAGTTCCCAGATTCTACCTAAGACCTCAGTCAATCTCGCTGCTAATACTGGACCGCCATCCTTAAAAATCTCAGGGGTAAACCTGTCAGGGCCTGCTACTCTCCCACGCTTCAGATTTCCTATAGCTTTTTCAACTTCGTAAAGAGTCGGAGGATTCACATTAACTTGCCATTCAGGTAAATTGGAGATCGTGGGAAACCGAAGTGTGGCTGAAGGCCAGTTGAACTGATCTCTAAAGTATTCTGCCCATCGATCCAATCTCCTGGGTTGAGAATGAATAATATGTCCATCTCTCTCTGAGATTGTTTCGCTAACAGTTGGGTTCCTAATACCGGTTTCCTTAACAAGTCTGAACAGTTGCCTGCTGTTACCTATTGCCGCTGCCTTTTCCATCTCTCTTACTTTCGCTACCCACCACTGTTCACGATCTTTGCGTAGGCTTCTAGTCAGCTTACGCTTAAGCTGACTCCGCTCTTCGTTATGTTCAGAGCCAGATGGAATGAGTTTTCGAGCATCTATCAGTGCGGTAGACGCTGCTGAGATCCAGTGTTTCTCCCTAACCTTATGATTTGCCGTACTTGCAGACGTCACTGCTGTTTCTATAGCTTTTTGGATGTCATTCCACGCTGCCTCGGGGTGGGCATCACTTACATGGCTGCCTGTTTTTCTAGTTGTTCCTGAAATATACTCTCAGCTTGACTATCATTAAGTAGGACCCTAAGGGGTTTCTTTGCACCATCTTTCCTACGTCCAGTAAGACGTAGACAAATACGCGCTCGCACCAAAGCATGATCTGAGTCTAAGCATGCGCACCAGAATGAGCGACAGTCTTCTATCGAGCCCCTCCATCGGTGGCTGATAGCGATGTGATCTATTTGGGTCCAACGTTGGGACGAATTAGGGGGTCGCCATGTCAAAAATGTTTTTCCTTATGCTTAAAGTTAGTGTTTGCAAGAAACAGGCGGTTATCTGAGCGTAGTCGCAACAGACGGTCACCATTATCTGTTCTTTGAGCCGCGACACCATAAGATCCACCCAGGTGTCTTTCCCTTTCACTTAGTTTACCTAGTTCAGCATTAAAGTCACCAGCCACTATTACTACATCAGAGCGCCTAGCCTCTCGGAGAAGGTCGGAAAGCTTTCTGTAAAACTCATCTTTTACATTATCTGAGTTGCAGTCAGTGGGAGAGTAGGCAGAGACGACGAAGAGGCAACGACGAGTGTCCCTATCTTTCCGAGTCCTTACTGTTCATTTTAGTCGGACAGCGCACAAACGACTGTCTACTGGGATCCAGTCTAAGAGATCTAGTTCTGCCCTAGGACTCATTGCTATACCTACGCTAGCGGGACCACGGGAAGCAGCATCAAGGCTTCTAGACACACGAAGCGTAAATCGAGTTGGTTCGTTACTTTGACATGGTGAGGTCAAATGAATGACACTACTAGGATCCTGTGTGCGCGTTTCGGAGACGCAGCACACATCGATGGAGTGAGATTCTAAAATCCTAGCTAAGGAAGCCTGTTGTCCTATTTGGCACAGTATTCGGACGTTGAAAGCTCCTACGTGTAGTTTAGAGCGTGGTTTCAGGAGACCAGGAATAACATTCCGCGTACTCTAATCGTTTGCACTAGTGGGGCGAGGTGATAAAGGGACGTAAGAAGGGCTAGTCGTGGAGATAAGAGAGTCATTAAGAGGTGTAGGAAGGATTTGAATGTGACCAACGTGGTCTCGTGTGCTGTTACGGGTATGAGGGCTGATGTCACTTCCCGGTTGCCCACACCGTGGAAGGGTATTTCTTGAGGAACCTGAAAAGGAAATCGGATTAGCGTTGGTCTTAACGACCTGGGTGCGTGACCGCAGGGCTCAAGGGACAACTGCTTGAGGCCGGTCGCGCACAGCCTTTTTGTGGGAGGTTTTTAATGTGTTAGCTCCGTTCTTCAAAGGGCCTTACCGCCGGAGACGGAAATACGTGGGGTAAGGTGAGGTGTGACATTTTTAGGGTCGACCTTTTCTAACCCCTTCCTTCTTTGTGAGAAGGCAGCATCGCTGCGGATGCTGGTTGTCCGATGGAAACACCTTACTGCTGTCACACCTCTGTACAGTCAGCAGTACGACTTCGCCCTCAGACCTTGAGTTGCTGCTTTTAGTCTTACCGTTCTCTAATCGACCTGTCTGGCATGGTAGAACCCGCAGGAACATGTGTTCTAGCCAATATAGCTCGGTTGGGTCATCACGATAGGCAAGCCCGACCACCACGTCAAGGTAGCAGCTACGGTCGAGGTACAACATAAGACAGTCTTCCAATGGCTTCCTTCGTATTGATAACAAATTCGCATTTAATGTAATTACGGATAAATTTGAATGTTAAGTGAAAGTTGGTCACTAGCATTAAACAACAGACCATATATTTGTTTCCTGAACAAGTGAATTTGTGTATATACACCGTGAACTGATACACTGTAATATTCATCCACTCAGCTAGAACTGTATAACTAAGCACCAGATAAAACTAAGTCGGCAAATAAGGGTTTTTAGTAGATTGTGCAGTGCAACATTATCAATGTAATGGTAACCTATTGTTATATTTTCAAATGAACATTTTTGAAGGTTGTAATTAGCTGTAAAAAAGTCCAGTTACTTCTCCTGTAAATGAACTGAACTGTTTAGGAATACAGATACAACTCGATCGTATGTACTTATCATCTACATTAGCAATGCTTTGGGTAGATGTGAAACGAATTCACAATGTACTTTAGAAAGTACTTTTGTATAAAATAATATGTCCTTCAGGATGGCTTGTCAAATATATACGGTTATACTCATATTATGACTTTGAAATTGGTAATGCAATAATGCTTCATCAAACTGTTAGATATCGAAGCGTACTATGCACTAATTAATTTTATTGCTTTTACTGTGTCTAAACATTTTTATACTAATTACTTGCCAAAAAACAATTTCAAATAAGTAGCTTTTCGTGCTAACGTAAATTACCTATGACACAAAAATAAGATAGAAATTTACGTTGTACTAAGGGCGTTTCTGATGAACACCAGTCAACTAGTGGAAGGGGTCACTTAACAATTACAGTATTTAGTTCCCAGTTATTTGGTTTCAGGTCCTAATCCCGCTACAACTACTTCGGTTTCTGGTTAGTGAGCCAGTACTACTGTTTCAAAGGAACACATAACAGTAATAAATACAAACAAATAAGCATAATAATGATATTAATGCTGAAATATGGGAAGATCACCAATGGTAAAGTGTTTTAGGAAAGAATACTTAGACATGTGTATTTTTTGGTCATAACAATCTGGTTCAATAAAAGAAGTTTTAGTCATGACAAGTGAGTAGTATTGGTTGAATCAGACGTAAACACCAATCAGATTAATGTAAAACTCCACTAGAGATGAAAAAAGTAAGACGAAAAAACCAAAAACAGATCCTGTTCTTAAAAATACAAAAAATCAAGATATTTATTTTATCAGTCTTGCTGGATTAAACAACTCAATACCGGGTCGTTGCAATAAATCATCTTGGGCCTTTTTTTCATCCAGCTCCATTTGATCAGTGACGTTTGAATTTGTGCTCTGTTCTAAATTAGGATTATTTTTTAGAATGATAGCTGTTAAAAGGCGTCCAGATATAGGTCCAGTAAGAATTCCCCAACAAGAATTACCCGTGGCAATATAAACATTGGATAAACCAGGAATTTGACCAATAACAGGATAGCCATCACTCACTAGCGGTAAATAACAAGCAGATTCTGTTATCATCTCAGCATCTTTTAATGATGGGACTACACTAGTAACTATTTCTTTTAAACGATTACAACGCCAAGATTCAATTTCAACTTGGTCCTTTGAAGAAGGTACAGGCTAGAAAGAATAATAATGAAGTTTAGAAATTTTATGAGATTATCACTAGTCATATTCAAATATTGGAAACCAATCGAAATGTATACTATGACAATGAAGATGTTCAAAGACACAGATTTGTGTGAATGGCGTCTGTTGATGAAAATAAAGGAGTTAACTTGCAAGGACTGAGAAATCTTGGCTTTGAACCAGAGGCCCACGAAAGCTTAAAGTTTGCATAGATTTTATTCGATGACATTGAAATTGAAAACATATATTTACGAAAAAACCTGGAAATCTTATTTAATCTAGTAGACCTGTTTTTTGAATTTGGTGGGAGTGAAAGTCGAGTTTCTTAGGAGTAATCAATATTGAGAAGACGAAAAACAAATCCAATAAACTTTCTACAATCTTTATTCGATCCTACGTTTTTGGTCACGACTATGTGTATGAATATAACAATAACAGTTTATAAACCAAAAACACAATGATTAAACTCACTGCTCCATCACCAAGACCACATACATAGACTGTATTATCAGGTCTTGGATAAACTTCAGGTGAACAAGAGAACTCAGAATTTTGATAATCCATGAACAAACATTTATCATCTATTGGAGACTTCTCTATTTTTGATTTCAATATGATACTATGAGCTCGCCTTCCATGAAATTTATTAGGATTTAAACATCCTGATGGCAACCAACTAACAGCTTCCTTTGACCACGGTCCTGTAGTAAGTATAACTAAACTGGCAGGGATAACTTCAGAATTTGAAGTAGATGATTCTATTATTCGAACACCATTAACTTGGGGAGCTGATGTATTCGACGTTGAAAATTCTAGTCCTATAACACGGGCAAGTTTCAACTTCGTTCCCTGATTTGTTAAATATTGAGCACGCCGAAATAATTCATCTGTGAGTTTTTTGGGATGTACCTAATAAGAGTAATGTAGTAAAATAAACAATAGTCTCATTTTTTTATTTTTACATGACAAAACACAAAATGATGAAATAAAAATGTAATCTTGACTTTAATAGGTGACTATTCATAGGGCATGTCTACTAAAGTTGAACATGTAGGGAATGTAATAGTTATCATCAATGCTATTGAATGGTCGTTACACCATATCACAAGATGGTTGAAATCATAATTGTATCATAGGACGCCAACCCAGTGGTTTTCATAGTCAAGCATTCGCTGTGAAAAATAAGGGCCCTAAGTTCGATTCATGTCGCTGTGAACCCGCACTGTTCAACAGTTCCATGGTTTTCAGTGATACCTCAACTGAGATCAATCTGTGGCGAAAATAACCCACTAATCTGAACAAAATTCCTCCAAATCAAAATCTTTGACATAAAATCACTGATGATTTTACCTAACGAGAAAAAGATCCATAGTGTTAACGTGAAGTTACAAAAAAGATAGCAATTACTAGGGTTTTGAAAGTTCTCTATGCACAAAGTGTCTTTTGAAATAAAAACCAGAATTCATTTAACTAATGGAATCGCTAATAAAAGCTTTTCATCCAGAACTTTCTTCATTTACTTTACCTCATTTAGAACTACATTTATAGATGTGAATTATATGAATATTACTCAACTCTAAATTTTGATTACAATAAACTAGTTGTTTAGCTTAATCCCTGCAACCTTACAAAGAAAAACTAAAATGAACTCAGTAATCAACGATAAACAGTGTTTGACTGGATGACCTTTGGAATTAAATCAATCATAGACACCACCAAATAATATCAATACCAGTCGTTGTTAGAAAGGTTCTATGGTAAAATAACTCTTCATGTAAGTCACATATCTGCACTTTGATAGTACTTTACTGAGAGCACGCATTTGCCTTCATGTTGTTGCTACCTTGACGTGGTGGTCGGGCTTGCCTATCGTGATGACCCAACCGAGCTATATTGGCTAGAACACATGTTCCTGCAGGTTCTACCATGCCAGACAGGTCGATTAGAGAACGGTAAGACTAAAAGCAGCAACTCAAGGTCTGAGGGCGAAGTCATACTGCTGACTGTACAGAGGTGTGACAGCAGTAAGGTGTTTCCATCGGACAACCAGCATCTGCAGCGATGCTGCCTTCCCACAAGGAAGGAAGGGGTTAAAAAAGGTCGACCCTAAAAATGCACACCTCGCCTTATCCCACGGATATCCATCTCCGGCGGTAAGGTCTCAACAAGTACGGAGCTAACACAATAATTACTCATAAAAAGGTCGTGTGTGACCAACCTCGAGCAGCTGTCCCTTGGGCACTGCGGTCATGCTCTCAGGTCACTCTGACCACCTCTAATCCAATTTACTTTTCAAGTACCTCCAGCAGAACCCTTCCACGGTGTGGGCAACCGGAAAGTGATAACCGTCCTCATACCTCTAACAGCACTCAAGACCACTATATTCATAGTCAACCTCCCTCTTCAATTCCTATTATTCCTCCTACATCGACTTTCTACACCAAACTTCCTCTTTTAGCTTCCTCCTCAATTGTCACCACAGCCAACGATTCTAGAGCTCAAAACACTGTCCCAGGTCTACTGAAACCTCGCTCCAAACTACACATTGGAGCCTTCAACGTACTCACACTATGCCAAATCGGTCAGCAGGCTTCATTGGCTAAAACCTTAGAATCTTGTACCATTGATGTATGCTGTGTCTCCGAAACATGCATATAGGATCCTAGCGTGGTCATTCACTTGACCTCACCTCGGCAAAACGGAGAGCCGACGAGATACACCCTCCGTGTATCTGGCGACCCGATGGCTAGTTCTCGTGGACTTGCAGGTGTAGGCATAGCACTTAGCATGAGGGCGGAACAAGCGCTATTAGAGTAGATTCCCGTAAACAGTCGTCTATGCGCTGTTCGGCTAAACGGCTCGGTAAGAACTCGGAAGGATAGGGACACATGTCGTTGCCCTTTCGTCGTTTCTGCCTACGCTCCCACTGAATGCAGTTCGGATGAAGCGAAAGATGAATTTTACAGAAAGCTGTCTGAACTTCAGAAAGCTAAACGTCCAGGCATAGTACTCGTAGGAGGTGACTTTAATGCCCAGGTAGGTAGCTTAAACGAAACAAAAAGACATTTAGGAGGGTATTTTAGTATTCCGGCACAGCGAACAGATAATGGTCATCGTCTCCTGCAACTGTGCTCAGACAATCGTTTATTTTTAGCAAACACAAATTTTAAGCATAAGAAGAGACATCGTCTAACATGGCGACCCCCCGCACCAAACCAACGATGGACTCAAATAGACTATATTGCCATCAGTCATCGTTGGAGAGGGTCAACAGAAGATTGTCGCTCATTCCGGAGTACCTGCTTGGACTCCGACCATGCCCTAATACGAGCACGCATCTGCTTGCGCCTCATTGGACGCAAAAGAGCCACACAAAAAAGAGTCATTAGAACCGAATTGAGTAATGAGAAAGCCAAAAGTAGGTTCCAGGAACAACTGAGGTCACACTTAGGTAGTTCTGAAAACGAAGCTGACCCAGATGTTGCTTGGAAAGTTATACAAGCAGCTGTGGAAACAGCAGTAACATCTACTAGTGATTTAAACCAAAGGGTTACAAAGAACCAATGGATTTCTTCAAGGTCTATCGCACTGATGGATTCTCGCAAACTCATCCCATCAGGTTCTGAATACGATGAAGAGCGTAAAGAAATCAGATCTAGATTAAGCAAAAGTCTAAGGAACGATCGTGAGCAGTGGTGGGCAACGAAAGCAAAAGTGATGGAAAAGGCGGCGGCTATAGGGAACACAAGACAACTCTACAGACTAACAAAAGAAACTGGAAGTAATAAATCAAGTGTAAGTCAGACTATTTCGGGAAAAAACGACACTCTCATCTGCTCCCAGTCCAGACGCTTAGAACGATGGACGGAATACTTTAAGGAGCAGTTTAGCTGGCCTTCAGCTACTCTACAACTACCCTCTATTCCCAGACAGTGTGAATGGAACATTGAAGTAGGTCCCCCAGCTCTAACTGAAGTTCAAAAGGCTATAGCTAATCTGAAACGAGGAAGGGCAGCTGGTCCAGATGGATTGGCCCCAGAGGTCTTTAAAGATGGTGGTCTAGTTTTAGCGATTAGGTTGACTAATATTTTAGCTAAAATCTGGGAGTTAGACGTTATCCTATCTAACTAGTCACAATCACTTATCGTCCCAATATTTAAGAAAGGGTCAAAATCATCCTTTGACAACCATAGAGGGATTATTTTGACTAATATAGTATCTAAAATACTAGCCTCGATAATTATCGGACGCCTAACTAAGACTCGTGAACTGCAAACACGTGAAAATCAGGCTGGCTTCAGACCTGGTTGTGGCTGCATCGACAACATATTCACCATTCGTCAGGTTCTAGAACACAGGCATACTTATCGGTTTATTTATTTATTTTATTTTAACACATAGGTATTGGTACAAGGAGGCACCAAATACATATGCGCCACACGAATCTCAATTGATTTGTGTGAGGGCTGTGATACTGCCCTGGTGCCCAAACCGAAGCAGGTGGTTTTCTTAGGGGGCCACACCCCGAGCCTTTGACCTGAACTTCTGATCCACAAGGCAGTGGAGAATCGTAAGCAGATGCAGTCCCATGGTAGCCGGTGACCAACGATTGGTTCATACGCCATTTGTTCCTTCAGGATACTGGAGCCCATGTGCACCATTGGTTTTGGATCCGGTTAAAGCGCCGGACATTCGATTTTCGTCCTCTCATTTTCGTAAACAACACCCCCGCCACGTGAAGGCAGTGAGTAGGACTTCTCTGGCAGGCGCTATCATGGCGGCCTGCTTGAATATCTGGGCTACCTGTTCCTCCCATCTAGATATTTCGTCAAGTTATCAGTTTTCTTGTTTGTTTTAACACACTATTATGTCTATTGAGCTCACAACCTATTCAGGCGCGTTTACGAAAAGTTTACAACCTTTCGCTGTACGGATTACAAAAAGGTACAACCAGTGACATCATGGTGGTTTGCAATATGCATTGAAACGAATGAACATTATTCAGATGTCGATTATCGAACTCCTAACATCTAACTGGCCATCACTCAATATTTATCGTCAGGATCGATGAGATATAAGAAAAGGAAACTTGTTGAAATACTTTATGCTGAGAATTCAATAGTGTACCACAAATATAATGTTGAATAAAGCTTATAATAATTAAAATAAAAAAATAATAATATATACGCGTGGCCATGTGAGAGCGTTTCGAGAGGGAGAGTGGACTCTCCCCACTCTCGGCCGTACCAGGGCATTTGGGGGCTTACTTATCGGTGCCCAAATATGGTGGTATTCCTTGACTTAAAAGCAGCGTTTGACTCTGTTGACCGAGAGGTTCTGTGGCAGTGTCTGTCATTGTAAGGCGTACCACAGAAGTACATAAACTTTGTGAAGGTTCTTTACTCGAACACTACTAGTAGAGTCAGAGCTTATGGCGAACTGTCATCCGCTTTTGCAACCTCAAGTGGGGTCCGTCAAGGCTGTCTACTTTCTCCATTTTTGTTTAACTTCTTCATAGACCTACTGATGGAAATAACGCTGAGCAACAATGCCAGAATGTTTGGGATGCGCTTCTCTCCCTCTAAATGCACGTTGTTGCTTCAGGACTGGTCTGCGTCAACACCTGAACTAAGGATAGGGAGTGAAGTCAGTCAGCCAGTCAGAAACAACGTGGAACTTCGTACGTACGTACATCAGTTCGAGTTGCCATACCACATTAGCACAGAGATTCAGTTATCGATTCAAATCCCGTAGTGGTAGAAGTAGTGATAGGGAACATTATGGTTTGATGATGTTATTTAAGGAGTATAGTCCAGTGGAATATATTTGGAAAGAAAATAAAGGACATGAAGAATACAGAAGATTAGAGTTTGAGAGAACACAGAGAGTGGATGCACCTGCGCTATTGC